GCAGATGGCACTTTTTTCTTTCTGCTCGGTGTGCAGGGCGATATGGATTACCTACAGAATGAGCTGGGCTTGTCACATTGGGCCAGTGATACGCCCTGCCATTTGTGCCCAGGTGGAAAGACAGTGGCTGACAACTGGTTTGACTTCAGGCCTGCAAGCAGTTGGAAGAAGAAGCCTGCCTCCACACCATTGCCAGATCACCCCCTTTGCAAGGTCATAGGTTGGAGCAGAAGGTCTTACTTGCTAGACTGGCTTCATGTCAATGATTTGGGTGTGGCTTCACATGCTTGTGCAAATGTGCTGTTTTATTTGGTGTACTCCAAGCTAAGCACATGCAGAGAGCCAATGCTGTGGCCTTGCTGGCTGAGTACATACTAAGTGTGCAGCCTGCCCATGGAAGCAGGCTGGGGGCTCAAGAAGTTTTGCCACCCGAAAAAGCCCCACAAGGAGTATCCTGAGATGAGGTTTCTGAAGGCTGCCAATGTGAGAGCCCTTGTGCCCATTTGTGCAGACCTGGCCAGGGAGCACCATGATGCAGCTGATGAGAAAAGCCAGCACATGCTGGCTATGATTTGCAATTTGTCCAAGCTGTATGACATCATGCATCGCTCTGGACTTGTGATTCCTGAGGCTCCCCATCGACAAATGGTGGAAGCTAGTGACAAATTCCTGCTGCATTACAATTGGCTGTCCAAGGCAGCAATTCGAGATGTGGTCAGTTGTTCCCAAATTCCATTACCATTATCATTTGACTGAAGGCTTCTGGGGTATCAACCCCAGGTTTTTTTGGTGCTATGGTGGTGAAGACCTTGTTGGTAGAGCCATCACCCTGTGCCACAGCTGTGTCAGAGGCACAGCTAATCATGACGTTTCTGCAAAAATGCTGGAGAAGTACAGGGTGGCAATGCATTTGAAATGGACCAGGCTAGGGTGAAAATTAATTGCAGCTGCTTGACTGTGTGTGCATGTGCAGGTGTGTCCTGTGCTTTGTTTTCTTGCTTCGTGGCCACACATTGAAGCACAGATGTTCCAGATCAAACGGAGTTCCATGGCAATTGGATTGGCTGAGACATGCCATGTTGCTTGACTGGGCTGGCCTTTTGGAGGAGATCTGCTGGGGAGGATGGTGGGATCAGGATTCCATTTGGCTGCAAGATGCCATTTCATGACCAACTAATGGTTGTTGTTGGAGACAGCTTGCGATTGAAATTTCATGAGAGCCACTCTTGAAAATTCTGGGCAATACCTAATATTGATTTTTGAGAAAAAACCAATCTCTCAATATTGAAACTCAGAAATTTTCATGGCACGCCTGAAATTCAAATGCTTTTCATGGTGCGCTTGGTTTTTTTCAATCTTAGAGGGTTTGGGAAAAAGGCGTTGCTTGTTCTCCTTCCACTGGGACGTTGCTTGTTCTCCTTCCAGGAGTTAAGAGACCCATGTGGCCTAGGCAAAAACACGCCTTTTTTCCTAACCCTAAACTTGACGTCTTTTTCCTTACCCCAAATTCGAGGCCAAATTCAAGGCAGTTCAAAAAGGCGTTGTTTGTTCTCTGCCACTGGGGCGTTGCTTGTTCTCCTTCCAGGTGTCACAAGACCCGAGGCAAAAAGACGTCGTTTTCCGGACACTTGAGGTTGTGAGGGGGGCGTCGTTTGGTCTCTTTTCACTTGTTAAGTGCCCCGTATGACCTAGGCAAAAAAGACGTCTTTTTCCTTACCCCAAATTCGAGGAACCCTCTCCTTCCACGTGTTTAGAGCCGCATGCGACCTAGACAACAAAACGTCTTTTTCCTCACCCTAAGTTCAAAGACGTTGTTTGTTCTCCTTCCACAGGGGCGTTGCTTGTTCTCCTTCCAGGCGTATAAGAGACCCATGTGACCGAGGTCTTTTTCCTGACCGCAAACTTGAGGCTTGGTCTAGAGGCTCATATGACCTAGGCAAAACGACGTCTTTTCCGCACCCTGCAGCCGACGTCAGAGGGCGCTTTTGTAATCGTCTTTTTCAGTACCCCAAATTCGAGGCACTCTGCAGCCGACGTCAGAGGGGCGTTGTTTGTTCTCCCCCCACACGTTAAGAGCCCGATGTGACCTAGGCAAAAGGACATCTTGTTCCCGGCCCCAAATTCGAGGCACCCTGCAGCCGACGTCAGTTGTTTGCGTTCTCCTTCCACGCGCTAAGGGCCCCACTTGACCTAGGCAAAAAAAAAGAGTCTTTTTCCCTACCCCAAATTCAAGGCACCCTGAAGCCGACGTCAGAGGGGCGTTGTTTGTTCTTCTTCCACGCGTTAAGAGCCCCACGTGACATCAGCCCCAGTTTATTAATATGGGACTGTCCACTGGCGTCGGCGGCGGTTTCAATTTGCAACTACTAGTCTTAAGTTAGCCAATACTAAACCAAGACCAAACTTTCTGGAAGCCCGGTAAATCCAAAAATATGCTTACCAGGGGTCACCGCTTTCCCTACCTGGTCTGCCTCCCTCAAACCAAAAACGCTTTAAACACCAGAGCACGCCCAGCGGTGCAGATTGCATTGGTAGGTTTCTTTGGTTCAAAGTTCTGTCTTGGAAGCCCAACAACAACGCAGGCCAGTTCACAGCAAGGCGTGAGAGACGGCAAAACGGCCCAGCGGCGCGCAAGGAACGAGGCCGGAAGAAAAACCCAGAAGACGATTCGCCCAAAAGCATCCTGTGTCACTCAATGTCAGCAAACCAGAGTGGCCAGGAGCAGTGGCTCGCAACCAGACCGATGGTTGGGCGCCGGAGGACCAGAAACTCCTTCAAGCTGGTGATGGGCCGTCGCTCGGACAGGGTCAACAGCCATATTCGAAGAATGCCTGGTGCCATACGTCAATGGGTCTCCGTCTTGTTCAACACCGTCTCTCCCACCCACCAGAAGAATGTCGCCCACGTCGGGCATCAAAGCTCTCACACTTCCCCCCCTTACATGACGCCAGCCCACAAATGTGGGGTTTGACGAGGGCGCTCAGTATCGGCTTGGGCTGCTGCAACTGCGACCAGCTCCCGCCAAGCCCAACCCCTGGGCGGAAGCTTGCGCGACATGTCTAAGTCCCTCACTAACTACTAACTGAGCCTGCTCACCTTCGTCAGCTCAAGGTCTAAGAAGCAAGAAGAGAGCCCTGACCCATTCTACAAGTCCACGCTTGCGCAGATTCGAATAAGTGCTTTCATGTAAGGTCCATGCCTTGCCGTCAGGGCCAGCGCTCGTTGACCTGGCAGTAGTCGCGCGCAACGGAGCCATCATCAGAGGTGGGCAGCCTCTCGTTCGGCTTCTCGGTGACGTGGCGCGCGCTGTGTTCCTTTGGGGGTGAGGTTGCCTTTTGGAGCGGCACCCTTTGGCTTCCGCCGGGAACGCGCTTGTAGCTGCCGCTTGGGACAAGAAAAATACTGCTGACCCGGACAAGTTTGATGGCAAGGTTGGCTCTCGCCCAAGCCATTGAGTTGCGCAACGGGCCTATTGCGGGCGGATGCCTAAGGGCGGAACATTTCTCGAGGCAAGCGGTTGAACAGGGTGCGTTCCTTGGGTTGGTCGTCAAGAGGTGTTGCGCGGATGATGTAAAAATACTTCTCGCGAAAAGCCTCCAAGTCGGCTACACCGGGGTCGGTGGTTAGTAGGACTTGGTTCACGTATCCACGTGCCTGCCGCCATTTTCTTGGCGGAAGAAGAAGCACAGTTCTTGATGAGGGTGAAGCAGGTCAGTGAAGGGTAGGCGGTTGCATCATGCGCACCACCATAGACATGACAGGTGGTATGGTTGCCACCATCGTCGGAATCCAATGATGTGTCAGAACTTGCGCTTTCACGACATGACTTGGACTTGCTTGCTGGCCTAGGCGTTGGAGATTGCTGACTACCAGTACTACCGACATGATGAACAATCTCCAGTTCCCCCTAGGCCCTGTGTCCAAGCTGGTTGCGCACGCGGCTCATCATTCTGAACAAGAACTTGCCGTGGCATTGACGAGTCGTCGGGCTGTGGGACACCAAATGATTTGGGGAAACCAACAAGCACGGGTTGTTGCCCAAACTGCTCGACGCGCCTGGAGCTGCATCTTTTGGGACGCGGCTTACGTGAGGCGCTGAAAGGCTCCTGGTTGGTGGAACCTTGCAATCCAACCCGCTGATCACGTCCAACGGAGCTTTATCTCACTTGCACGGGACCTGTAGGATTTTGACTTGGTACTGCAGCCCCCCCTTTTGATGCAGCGCCCTCATCAAGGGGCGCTGAGACTTGATGCGCAAAGGATGAAACGGCCTTTTGGAGGTCAGCAAGGCGCTTCGCCATCAAAGCGTACATTGCATTGCATTACATTACATTATTTTACATACATACAGTACATACATACATACATACATACATACATACATACATACATACATACATACATACATACATACATACATACATACATACATACATACATACATACATACATACATACATACATTACATACATACATTACATTACATTACATTACATTACATTACATTACATTACATTACGTTACATGCTTACATACATGCGTTGCACTAAATACATACATGCATGCGTGCAGACATACATACATTCATACATGCACACATACATTACATTACAAGCATCTGTAGGTTCTAGACGAAGGGCGGAGCTCGACTCCAATGCAAAGAAGAAACAGCCTTCTCTCCCCGTTCGGCTTCCGAACACAGGACATATTGAATATGGCGTCACAGAAAGACAAAACACGAATTGGCGTCACTCAGCCAGAAAGTGTGGGCGTGTTGGGTAGGGATTGGCTTGGACTTACATTGGAACTTGATCGGATCGAAGAAGATTCAGAACAATTCCAAATTCTTGGACTGTGGTGGGTCATTTTCAAGGTGCATAGTCTCCCAGAGTGTAATGCGCACACACAAACTCTGATCAGGAGGTTTGAGAAATTGTTGTGGCTTCGCGTCAAGAAAATCGCTCACGATTGTGCTGCCATTTGGCGAACTCCCTCTCGCCTTCTGCCAGTCGTCGTGGTGGTGGGAGTGCAGCATTCGTGCGGGCAGCAATATGGCCAGCAGTGTCTCCTGCAGGTCCCAGCTGCTCATCATCGGATTCTGCCTGCGTTGAACACATGATCCCCAGTTTTCCATTGTTCAAGATTCAAAACCACTACTTGCACCCTCATGTTGCGCTTCCCTATTCTTGTATATTCTTTCCAGGGAAACTGATAGGCAAACATAACTGTTGGGATCAATCTGATGCATAGCACATGGGTCTGTGAACGCCACACAAAATGTGCTTTTCTAGGAAGGAACCTGAGACGGGGTGTTCTTGGAAGAGCCAGCCGCCCCTGAAATGAAATGGTCGGGTCCGTCTGCTCCCTTTTCAATCTGTTCTTTTTGTTGGCAACGCAAATACTCTATCAGGCCAAAACTCTGAGATGGAATGCGAGGAGGAAAGACCCACCAAAACAAGTCGCAAAAACCAGCAGCGCCGGCGCTGGGGCCCTGGCGCTGCGTGTGCCAAGATGTCCCGGAAGGCCGAGGTGAAGGCAGCGGAGGAGAGCCACTTTGCTACGATGTCCAGCAAACCTTGCGACGTCTCCGAGCGTAGCCGCAAACTTTCTCCTCATCCAAATGGTGGTCTTTTCGGGCGGGCAATGTTTCAACTGGCGAGCCCTGTTCAACCCTGTCAAACACGGCACCAAGCTGGGCCGGCTGGTATGGACGTTGTGTTTTTCTTGAGGACTGGCATTGGGGCTTGAAGCTGGTGGGGGGAGGGGCACAAGCTTCTCGGCACGTCCAGCTTCCTTTTTTCCACCTTCATCTCGCGCCAAACGGCTGTGTCACAGCTTCGCGAGCTTCTGGCGGGTTTTCTTGGCAATCACAAGCAAAATTTCGCTTGTTTGCACGCTGGCGCTCTGGCTTGCTTGCACGTTAGCTTAAGCAACTACCCGGAAGAAAAAGGTAGCACGTGTTTCGCAAAACAATATACAGTATGATCCCCTTCTTGGCTTTGCTGGAGCCTGCAACAAACTTGCCAAGTAGTTCTCCACTTGCGGTGGTGAGATTTACACCTCGCCTGGGTGACAATAGGATGTGGGTAATGTTAACAGCGTATTATAGATATCCCCTATTAGTCCGGTCCGGGTGAACCCCCCCAATACTAAACAATTCATATCTCAGAAAGACCACCCTAAATAAAAAAGAGCTCCAAACCCCCCCCCCCCCAAGTAGACCGGTCCCTCCCCCACATAGCTGCTGCTATCTCATTTTCTCCACTGCTTCTCAAAAGGAAGCCCCAGCAATACCAAATCAAATGGAAACTCAATTCCAGATCTCAAAAGGAAGCCCCAGCAATACTAAATCAAATGGAAACTCAATTCCGTCAATTCCAGATCTCAAAAGGAAGCCCCAGCAATACTAATCAAATGGAAACTCAATTCCAGATCTCAAAAGGAAGCCCCAGCAATACTAAATCAAACGGAAACTCAATTCCAGATTATTTAGGGGGGTCAAGGAAAAAACCTTCCAAAATCTTGCCCCCCCAAAACCTTCCAACCTTCAAGGGGGGGGTTACAGACCAATACGGGGTTTACATTACATCCGTGATGCATTTAAACACATTGTTGGGTCCAAAAACCACCTCCAGAATTGCTTCAAAATCATTGAATCATGGCCTCTGGTGGCACACCTGGTAGTCCTCGCCGCGGCTGACAAACAAGGACCCGCTTCAAGTTGCGGGTCTGTCAACCGCCCATCAGTGGAAATTTGCGCCAACTACATGATGGGACCCCACGTCGCTGGTTGGCGCGTCACCTCTGAGTCCGCAAACCTCCCGCATCTACCAAGCCTGCCTTTGCTTTTTATGACAGAATCCGGCCTGCCCGTCATGTGCTCAGGGCATTGGCAAAACTATTTCAATGGGGTCAACCCCTTTTCGAATCCTCTTCCGAAGCTGTCTCATACGTCGGCGCCTCATCTTCCATTCAGCTTGCCGTGAATGCCGCGAAGCGCTCTCGTGCAATCTCTGCATTGCCGATCGCAATGTTGGCACTCGCACACTCGTGCTTCTCGAGCTTGGCTTGCTCCAACTCTCTCGCTGCAACTTCATCAACACGGGGCCTGACATTCCGCTCAACCTGCTCTGGCGGCAGCCTGTGACCTGATGCCTGTCATCACCGCCCTGGCTCTTCACATGTTCCACAACCTCCGTCTCCTACCACCACGCCAGTTTCATCTTGGTACGCTTGCTGCCCGCTGCTGATGATCTCATCAGGAATGACAGCACACCCGTGCAAGATCATACGACCAAGCGCTTCTGCATCATTTGCAAGCCACAGATGAGAACCATCGACCGAGACTGCAACGGTTTCACACAATGCCTGCGCTCGCTTGTCAGGCTCCTTGCAATCACCTTGCAGGGGACCAAGCTGTTTCGCCCATGGTGTCTCTGCCAAAAAAACGACCCCGCATCATATTGCCTCAAATCGCGTTCCCGGGATGAAGGTCCTAATGCGACCAAGTCTGTAGTGGGCATGATCCACCTAAATACCATTCGAAAACGCATGCTGTTTTGGGCGTCCTGCCCATGAAAACCATCTTGAGCCAAGGCTCTTCAAACACTGCTCACTTGAGGCTTGGCCAAGGTTCTTGCGAAGTGCCCGACACACTCATGTGGGCAAGTCTCAGGGGAGTGTGTTGGCTGACCCTCCGTTTAACTTGTTGCTCGAAGCAACGCTCTAGGTTCCTCAACTGTGGGCGAGAACTTGAGGTTCTCCGAGAGCGTCCTGTCTTGCGAAGCGGCGTTGCGTGCAGTTCCCCCCCCAAAAAATATATGTTGTGTATCTGCATGTATTGAGTACATTGAACGGTTGTTCATGGGCAAGCCGACGCACCGGCGGGCCCGCGCGGACCTGTTGCGACAAAGCTGACCAAGCCAGCGCAGACTTCCTTGCCTACGCCAGCAATGCGATCAGCAACCTGAGCTCTGCCAGTGACTCGACGCGGACCCTTGCCTCCTTCATACTCATCTTCCGCAGAAGCCTTTTGCAGACTGCGGCTGTTGGCCGCACGCTTGTCTGGCTGCAGCTTCCCCGCCACAACGTTCGCGTGGCCTTCCGGTCCTTCCGTGCTCCGCACAGTGGCCCCGAGGAAGCAGATTTGGTTGGTTCGCCCAGCCTTAAACGCTGCCCAAGTCAGAGAGCTCAGAACCGATGTGAGATTGCCGATTCCTCCAGTGGCTTCATTCTCTTTGCAGCTTTCCAGTCCTCTTCTTGCTCCCATGCTGCGTGGGCTGCCCAACTTACCAGACGATGATTGACACTGGAACAACTTGGTCTTGCCTTTCCCCCTTGAATTTCCTGCCGTTATTTTGCCAAGCGCCGCTTCCACCTTCTGAGCAAGCTCGAGTCACCAGAAAATGTTGGTTCGAAAGGGCCAGAAAACTCCAGCAGCAGCTTGCCTGCGTCGACTGCGACAGTCCTCAACATGCGCCGCCATCTTGCTTGCCTTCAGCAAAAGCTCACCCGTTCCGCGCGCTGCCGGTTTTCGGCGTTTCTCTTAACCCGCCATCACCTTGGCGCTACTGCCTCCCGCACGGCTTTCGCCTTCAGGCCTTTCTCCTACACGGAACTCCCAGCCATGGAACTGCGCAGCGCCGTCATGGATGTACGCGTCACTGCGTGTCTCTACTTCTTCCCTAATCAGAAGAAAACGGGATATGTCACACAGCCCTCTGCACTCAGAGTCAAAGTTTCCCGGACCAACCGCAACAGGTAAAATGCTCGACATGCAAAGGGCAACAACGATTTGTTGGCTGGGCCGTTGAAGTGGCATGTAAAGGAAAACCGCCAGGTTCCAAAAGGGATTTGTGACAACTCCTCGGCATGTTCTGGAAAAAGGTGAGCCAGAGAATTCCTGTCTGAAAATGTTTGATTTGGAGGCGCTTTTGGGTCTCCCTCTGTTTCCTGTAGATCAGCAAGAAGTTCACTGCCCTCCGCCCAAGAACCAGACTTTGCGGAAATGTCTCATTTGTTTCCTTCTCTCGCCTGTGTGGTAGTCGCAGTTTCGGGCGATGGCAGAGATCACATCACGCGTCATGAGCTCTTCCCGGAAAAAGTCCGTGGCCTCCAGCCCCATGTATGTCTTCAGGCGACCCCAGATGAACTCCGCGCCCGTCCTGGGCTGCGCCCCCTTCCCTGCCAAAAGGACCCTTCTTTTCGGCGGAGGGAAGCCGAAACCCTCCAACGCTAAGCAGATCATCTCAAAGTATCCGTGTGTTTCCAGTCTTGGTTGCATCAACTTGTCCCAATCCAATCGGGTTTGCCATCGGCAGTTTGCAGGAGATATACAGGGGTGGCGGGGCAAATGCAACCGGAATGCATCGCCGTAGGGGGAACAGCGAAGAAACCAACCTCTGAATCTGAACTCTTCACGCGTGAGCAGTATTCGGCCGCCTCCTTCACGCACCTGACCGAGTCTGAGAGCTGAGGAAAGCAATGAAACAACCAAAGCCCAAAAGACTTTTCAAGCCTGGCGCAGTCAATGTTCCTATTGCGCACATATCAACCTCTGGGGCGCCTTCTTTACAAGCAGCTCATGGCAACTTGTTCATTGCCTTTTGCAAGCACCCCTGTGGTGGCAGGCCTCATCCTCGACGGCGTCAAGCGTCGCCAACATGGTTTTCCGTCACAAGGGTTCGTGGTAAGTTGTTGAGGTCCCCGCCCCGCGCCTGCGTTTGCAGAAGTGATGGCTGCTCTGATTCCGGCACTTAGGGCAGAATCCGCCCGCGTCGAAATGCTCGCCCGCTTTGCCCTTGCACGTGGGCAGCGAGCAGTTCCTTACGCGCGACGACGAAAAAATCACCTCCCTTGCATGCTCTTCAATCATGTGTGCCCCGTGCAGATACTTGCCAAGTAAGCTTCCTCAGGGCTCCCCCCAGAAAATAATATGGCTTCAAGTTTGCAACGGTTTGCCTCCAAACTCAGTTCCCTCAAACAAGCCTCTGCGTGGTTTGGCACACCATCGGTTTGGCAGCCAAAAAGCAACAAAACACACAAGCTGGCAACCAATCAGGGGCTTGAGAATGCAATTGTCCATGTGAAAAACGGCTAGGCAGCCAATGCGAAACAAGTTTGTAGTTGATGCCTGAGCAAACATCCTTATTTAGACCTTCAATACGCTCGTAAAAAGCAGCTGTATTCGTGATTTTCATGAAAAACAAAAAGGCGGTCTTCTTAAGGGGTGAATAAGGGCTGAAAAAGGGCTTCTGTAACAAAACTCCTTCTGGCGCCACGGGGGGGGGGGTAAGAGGGAAGAGTATGTACAATGTGCCGGGGAGAGGTCTGGGCATCAACATCACACTGAGGGCTGGCTTTCAGGCAGATCTTGTATAGGATTTGATTTCATAAAATTACAAATCTTAGTCTGAGAAATTGGCTTCCAGAGGACTTTGGAGGAATGAAATTGCAGATGGTACACGTCTATTTGTAAAATTTGTAAGGTCTAGAAAATATTCTCCAAAACTACAAATTTTACAAATTCTAGTCTGAGAAATTAGCTTCCAGGGGAATTTGGTAGGAATTCAATTACATTTTTTACAAATTTGTAAAATATCAAAAAATCTGGCCCAAAATTACAAATTTTACAAATTAATTGGTAAAATTGGTAAAATATCAAAAAAATCTGGCCCAAAATTACAATTTTTACAAAATCTAGTCTGAGAAATTAGCTTCCAGGGGAATTTGGTAGGAATTAAGTTACAAAATTTTACAAACTTCACAAATTTTTTAAATTGTACAAATTAATTTGTAAAATTTGTAAAATATAATAAAAATGCAGAAATTACAAATTTTATAAATTTTACAAATTCTAGTCTGAGAAAATAGCTTCCAGGGGAATTTGGTAGGGATTAAATTACAAATTTTACAAATTTTACACAAACAATGTAAAATTTGTGAAATATAAAAAATAAAAAAACCTGGCCCAAAATTACAAATTTTACAAATTTTTCAAATCAATTTGAAAAACATGTAAAAAAATATCAAACAAATCTGGCCCAAAATTACAAATTTTACAAATTTTAAAAATTCTAGTCTGAGAAAATAGCTTCCAGTGGAATTTGGTAGGAATTAAACTACAAATTTACATTTTTTACAAATAGTATAAACTTTACAAATTAGTTTGTAAAATTTGTAAAATATCAAAAAATCTGGCCCAAAATGACAAATTTTACAAATTTATTTGCAAATTTTGTAAAATATCAAAAATCTGGCCCAAAATTACAAATTTTACAAATTTTTCAAATCAATTTGAAAAAATGTAAAATATCAAAAACATCTGGCCCAAAAACACAAATTTTACAATTTGTACAAATTAATTTGTAAAATTTGTATAATTTGTAAAATTTTGTAAAATTTGAAATTTAGTTTCTACCAAAGTCCCCTGGAAGCTAATGTCTCAGACTAGAATTTGTAAAATTTGTAAATTTTATAATTTTGGGCCAGATTTTTGTATATCTTACAAATTTTACAAACTAATTTGTAAAATTTGTAAAAATTGAAAAATTTGTAAACTTTGCAATTTAATTCCTACCAACTTTTCCTGGAAGCTAATTTCTCAGACTAGAATTTGTAAAAATTGTAATTTTGGGCCAGATTTTTGATATTTTACAAAATTTGCAAATAAATTTGTAAAATTTGTCATTTTGGGCCAGATTTTTTGATATTTTACAAATTCTACAAACTAATTTGTAAAGTTTAGAATATTTGTAAAAATTTTAAAATTTGTAGTTTAATTCCTACCAAATTCCACTGGAAGCTATTTTCTCAGACTAGAATTTTTAAAATTTATAAAATTTGTAACTGTGGGCCAGATTTTTTGTATATTTTACGAATTTTACAAATTAATTTGTAAAATTTGTAAATTTGGGCCAGATGCTTAATTTAATCCCTACCAAATTCCCCTGGAAGCTAATTTCTCAGACTAGAATTTGTATTATTTGTAATTTTGGGCCAGATTTTTTGATATTTTACAAATTCTAAAAACCAATTTGGAAAATTTGTAATTTTGGGCCCTATTTTTTCAAATTTTACAAATTCATTTGTAAAATCTGGAAATTTTACTTTTTACACGTATACTTGCGAAAAATGGCGAAATGCTTCATTAATTGTTAGCCATAGTTGTTGGAATTTGGCCTAGTTCAGAAACTAATCTGCAAAATGTGTCTAACTTGTAATGTAACTCCAGCCAAATCTCCCCGGAAAGCAAATTCCCCAGAGTACGTTTCAATGTAAGCAAACATCCGATCTAGAATTACAAGCTGGATTTGAACAAACATTGCTCGGGGGTTGCAAATTGCACAAGCTAGTTCGTAAAAAGTGGGTCCAGAATTCCCAAAATTACAAGTAAAGGTGCAAACATTGTAAACTTGATAAAACTTGATCACTGTCCTTCCCTTAACGGCTTTTTTGGGTCAAGTGTGTTTCATTTTGAATCGGTTGAAGTTTGGTAAGGAAATGGGGAGGAAAGCATATGACATTTTCATTTGGAATCTCTTTTCTGTTATTTCCATGTACTTGTTTTTCTTTAGGATCTCGAATTCATACTCCTTTCTTTATCTTTCACTCTCCCCCCTGACCATTTCTTCCTACAATCAACTCAATAAACTAGGATGGAAAAGACAGGGATAAAGAAATAAACATAAGATAGGTAAAGGAGAGAGGACATCTTCTGTAACACGCTTCTTTTGGATAACTTTCATACCACACATACCTGATGGAGAAAGAGATGGAGAAAACCGTACAAATAGAAAGACATGGAAAGGCTACTGGGATTGTGGGATGGATTCATTTGTATCTCAGAGATTTTATCGCATACCAGGTTAGACCAAGCGATGAAGGTAAGGGAAAGGGAAAGGTGTGAAAGAACAAAGAATGACTAAGAAAATCTTCCGCCCAGACATCACGCAGAATAAAACCAGATAGCCTGTCCGTGAGACTTGGGGGATATGATGATTGAAGATTCCCTCACTATGGATGGGCAAGAAGTGACGAAAGCATTTGCAGGCAATAATAGTTACGGTAGAAACCGTAATATCCTCCCTTTCTTTTCAAACTCCTGCTCTATACAAGCTAACGTAATTCAAAAACATAAAAAAGGGCGCGAGACAGTTATGACAAAGCCAAAGATAATTATGGGTGGTGCTTACAGAAGCTATCTAATTTATTCCGTGCTAATACATGCTTCTAATCTTAAAACCATACTTGCATTCCTCGTTCTTTTCTATTTTATTCTTCTCTTGTTGAGATTCATTACGCTATCTTTCTTTGTGAATGCTTTTGGCTGTCCGGTCGTCTCTGGGGCTCACCGAAAGGAAAAAAGATTACGAGTAGGTCTTACTCATATTATTTTGCTTGTGTTTTACTATCTTTTGGACCTTTCATCCTTCCCCTTCTTCTGTTTCCCTTTTCAACCGTTGAAGAATGCCAGAAATCGAGGGGTGAAGGAAGGAGGGAGAAACTAGCCCCCCGCTCCTTCTTCTCCAACTGTATCGCTAGTGGGGAGAAGATAGGAAGGAGATGAACCGTTCCATCTTTACCTTTCCCTTCCCCACTACGTTCTGGAGTTCTGTCACTACGAAAGACTCACGATGGAACAGTCTAAAAGTGGGACGAAGGAAGGGGATATTGGATTTATTTTTGGTTTATTTGTAGAAAAAGAAATCCACTTTCCACAGCCCGCTTCTTTCTGTAAAACACAGATGGAAGAAGATGACCTTTCCTTTCCCGGCCCAGCCAACGCTTCTCATTTTCCTTGTCTTGTCTTTTACATTGCCATGTTTTGGAAATGAAGAAGTAAAGCGTCTGGCAAGGAGGTAAGCGCCCATCAATACTAATTGAAGATAAAGAATTGGATGGGCACTTACCATGTCCATCTATCACTTCTTTCTTTCCTTTTGATGAAATTGACGATTGAAAATGGGAAGTGAGAAGCCTCTCTTGACTTCTTCCTCAAGCATAGGCTGCTGTTAATCTTACAGAAGGGGTCGTCATGGGGGCTGCGTTTTTCCGATTCCTGGGGGCTGAGTTTTTCAGATTCCTGGGGGCTGTTTTTTTCAGCAAAAAACCAAGAAACCAAAAAACCAAAAAAAAAACAAAAAAAAACAAAAAACACAGCCCATCATCTGCATCTGCTAGTTCAGGGCCATGGGTCTGGTGTTTTGTGTTTTGTTTTTTGGTGCCTTTGCTCATAAACACCAAGAAAACCAAAAACAAAAAAACAAAAACACAGCCCATCATCTGAAGACAATACTTTGTTGATGTTTTCTTGATGCAAGCTTTCTTGATGCAAGACATCAATAATATGATGAGATGTGTATCAACAGAACATAAGCCTCTTCCAAGATATTCTGCAGGTAACTCCAGGTAACTGGAGAAAATTTATCTCATCTCTCATTTCATCTTCTGCAGGTAACATCTCATCACAAGCAATTGCTTGTGGCTTGTGTCTACTTGAATCTATTCTGAACAGCTTTACTGTTGCAAGGGCTCTTCAGCAACACGAATAGCTGCAGAGAATCTTATTCCAAAGCTCTTATTCCAAAGCTGAACAGCTTTATGCAGAGAATGTTATTTGCATCTGCAGATATCGTTGCAGGTGCTCATCTTTGCATCTTGTGCTTCTTGAGCTCAAGCAACTAGATTGGGGCTGTGCTCCAATTGCTCCAGCCCATTATGCGATAAATATGTTTGTGTTAGCTGTCTTTTCTCAAGAGCATGGGCAGAGCCCATGCGTATATTGAACAATATTGAACATCCAACTGTAAAAAGAGCTGAGTCT